GTGGTGTGTTCTGAGGATCACACGTTAACACACGTGATCCTGGTATATATCACAGACATACTCATCATACCCACCGTGGTGTGTTCTGAGGATCACACGTTAACACACGTGGTCCTGGTATATATCACAGACATACTCATCATAACCTGTGGTGTGTTTTGAGGAACCCACGTTAACATACGTGGTCCTAGTATATATCACAGACATACTCATCATACCCACTGTGGTGTGTTATGAGGATCACACACGTTAGCACATACGTGGTCCTAGTATATATCACAGACATACTCATCATACCCACTGTGGTGTGTTATGAGGATCACACACGTTAGCACATACGTGGTCCTGGTATATATAACAGTTCAATAAATGTGAGTCATTATATTGTTCCTTTTTCTCTGAAGTCCGCCTCCCTTGTGACTATGTATTTTATTTTTATAATAAACTATTTTTGTTGAATTTTAATAGCAGATTATAAAGACAGTACACATTTTACTATAATCCTAAGTATATATGAAGTAAATCAATGGAACAATTAGATACTTTTTAAAATAGTATAATTAAAAGTTACAGGTTTTATTATAAATATCTGCTAGTTTACAGAGTCATAAAAGTGAATGGGGGGAACTCAGAAAAAGGTGTAAAAATGAGCATAAGTATAGTCTTTAGATTTATGCCACGGACCCATAAAATTTCTGACAAAGAAAAGCTCATTCAAATTTTAGAAATATTTTTCATATTTATTGAAAGCAAAATATTAGAGAACTATATTTGCCAAAAAGCCAAGAAAGTAGACTTGTGAACTAAAAGTAAAAAACACTGGGATGGTAAAATGACCTGTGGGAACGAGAGTGCCCAGACACACGCAGGTTTGACGAGGGCGCTGTGCATGGGTATTACCTTTGTGCAACACAGCCGTCAAGGTGGGGGAGCAGAGAGCGGGGAGTATGAAAACTTCTCAGGCATAACCAAGCACCGTGAGGGAATGAGTCTTGGGCCTGGGGCACCAAGGGATATTAAGACCAATCAGTGTTCACTGTCCTACTTTCATGAGTAAAGCTCACGAACAGCCATCTAAGGTGGAACTAGTGTCTGAAGTAAGGAAGAGTGAAGAAAATCAAACGTGGGTCCAGATGGCCCACCCCTCACTTCTATGAGCCATTCCCTTGATGTAAAGGTCTCTCTCTAGAGATGCACAGACTGGCCCACCCCTCACTTCTATGAGCCAT